TTTAATCCTTTCTCTCCATAATTCATCCTATCAAGTTGCTTTGGTGAAGGCAACCCAAAAGGACCATGCACCATCGGGTCAAGTACATACCAAAATAGTTATGGACTTAGACACTAATCCAACATTTTGTTGGAGTGAAAAGCAAGAAACCGCATTCCAGACATTGAAGAAAGCCTTGTGCAGTGCGCCGGTCCTATCCTGACCCGAAGGAACAGAGGACTTCGTTGTTTTCTGCGATGCGTCTAATCAAGGCTTAGGTTGTGTGCTTATGCAAAGGGGAAAAGTGATTGCATATGCCTTAAGACAGCTGAAGGCACACGAGGTCAACTATACCACTCATGACTTGGAGTTAGGAGCCGTAGTATTTGCACTGAAGATTTGGAGACATTACCTCTACGGAACCAAGTGTACGATCTTCACTTACCATAAGAGCCTGCAACACATCTTTGACCAGAAAGACTTGAACATGAGGCAACGACGATGGGTAGAACTACTCAGTGATTACGAGTGTGAAATCCGTTACCATCCCGGCAAGGCTAATGTGGTAGTAGATGCCCTTAGCCGAAAGGAGAGTTCAAGCCGAAAGTTGAAGACCCTGACGATGACCATCCATTCCAACTTATCCATGCAAATCCAAGAAGCCCAGTTAGAAGCCCTCAAACCCGAGAACATGTCAATCGAAGCTTTGAGAGGAATGGAAAAGAAACTTTAGATCAGAGGTGACGGAGTCTACTGTTTCATGGACCGAATCTGGATCCCAAAGTCCGGAGGATTCAGGGAGATTATCATGGAAGAAGCACACAAGACCAGATACTCTGTTCACCCAGGTTCGGACAAGATGTACTTAGATCTTAAGAAACAATATTGGTGGCCAAACATGAAAGCTGAGATAGCTACATTCGTGGGAAAGTGCCTGACTTGCGCCAAGGTGAAAGTCGAATACCAGAAACCTTCGGGTCTGCTCCAGCAACCCGAGATACCCGAATGGAAATGGGAGATGATTACCATGGACTTCATCACCAAGCTACCCAAAAGCCCGAGTGGGTATGACACCATTTGGGTAATTGTCGATCGTTTGACAAAGTCCGCTCACTTCATTCCGATCAAAGAATCATACAAGATGGAAAGACTTGCGCGAATTTACATCCAAGAGGTAGTCCGACTGCACGGTGTACATGCGTCCATTATCTCTGATCGAGATAGCAGGTTTACCTCCAGATTCTGACAGTCTCTCCAGAAAGCTCTTGGAACCAAACTAGACATGAGCACGGCGTATCATCCTCAGATTGATGGACAAAGTGAGAGAACAATCTAAACCCTGGAGGACATGCTTAGAGCATGTGTCATGGATTTTGGAAAGTCGTGGGACACACATCTACCTTTGATCGAGTTCTCGTACAACAATAGTTACCAAACCAGCATCATGGCTGCCCCGTTTGAAGCCCTATACGATCGTAAGTGCAGATCCCCTCTGTGTTGGGCCGAGTTGGGGGACACACAGCTAGCCATGAGTCGAGTCCCCGACAGTGCTCTCACTGGTCCTGAAATCATCCGCGAAACCACCGAGAAGATCATCCAAATCCAGGAACGATTGAAAGCTTCACGAGATAGCCAAAAGAGTTACGCTGATAACCATCAGAAACCTCTGGAATTCCAGGTTGGAGACCGTGTCCTGTTGAAAGTCTCGCCTTGGAAAGGCATGGTACGCTTCGGAAAGTGTGGGAAACTTAACCCGAGGTACATTGGACCCTTCAAGATCCTCGCCAGGATCGGTCCGGTAGCCTATAAATTTTGTTTACCCCATGAGCTCAGTAACATTCATCCCGTCTTCCATGTTTCAAATCTCAAGAAGTGCTTATCCAATGAAACCCTAGTGATTCCTTTAGACGAGATCGAGATCAATGAAAACCTCAACTTCGTAGAGGAACCGATCGAAATCATGGATCAAGAAGTCAAACGTACAAAGCAAAGCCGCATCTCGATAGTGAAGGTTCGCTGGAATGCCCAGCGGGGACCGGAATTCACTTGGGAGCGTGAAGACTCGATGAAACAGAAGTATCCACATCTCTTTCCAGATCCATGATTTGTATATTGACTTGTATCTTAATTTTGAATTTCAGGATGAAATTCCCTCTAACGGGGGGATAATGTAACAACCCAAAATTTCGTATCATTTCTTATAATCCTTTTCGTAATCCATTTCGATCAATCAATCGTCGTTTTCAAATTTGTGTCCGATTTATCCATTTAATTAAGTGGCTAAAGTGTAATTATCTAAAATGACTTAATGGGTATCCTAGTGCATTTAGAACTCATTCTAACACCCCGTATTAGCAATCGGAACATTTATAGAATCAGCCATATCGGGTTACGACAACTTGGTCGGGTGTGACCAAAAGCCCCGTCTAACGCTAGTATCGGGTAGAATTTCACCGTGTCCAAATCCCGAGCACTATTTAAAGTGAATCAAACTTCCATTTGAAGCTTTTGCTTCATCTCACTATTCTCTCTCTAACCTCTCTCCTCATCCAAGATTAAGGTCCAAAAACATAAAAATTAAGGCTCCAAATCATAGAGGTAACTTCCCTAACTTGTTATTCAACCTCTTAGGCCTTCAAATATGTGTTTAAAATGTGATTTTGGACCTGGAACATGTTTTTACGGCCAAGGAGCATGCTTGGGCCATAAACACTTAATAAATGGGTTTTTGAGCAATTTAACCCCTCCAAACCAACATTGGGACTTAGATATGACCTTATGGCTTACAAATCCGGACATAGAACACCCTAAACATGAATTTTGAGGAGCAAATAAGAGTTTACGGCCAAGGAATATGCTTAGGCCGTAAACCCCTCAAACATGGGGAGTAAACTCATTTAAAACCTAGATCCTTTAGGATGTATGTACACATAGAATTTTATATTGCTTACGTTGCCACAACCGGTGTGTATAGAATGCTCGAAAACCTATCATTATTGTTTTTAACTTAATTAGAAATAGAAGCGTATTTTGGTTCTAACTAAAAGTTGAATATGGAGTTGTTTGTTTCTGTTTAATTAAGTTAGGATTCCTTTCCGATTAGTATACACTAGCATAAACTATATAATTTGCATATTGTAAAAAAAAATTATTGTCATTGTTACAAATAAAATATAGACTTATGTTTTTAATTTTCTTACCATGATTTTAGAGATTGAAATTTGATTTTTGGAAGCATAAGGAAGGTAAGCTTGAATTTAATCAAATGAGGATACTTCCAAGTGGTGTTGTGATTTTTATGGGTCTTGTTATGTCATCGCCCCTCTTCCTATTTTTTGTATATGTGTGATATTCTCTCTGTTTTAAATCTCTTCGATTCTCAATTCGAGGTAGGCCGGGTCCGAAACCAACCATCCTTAAAGATCACACTTACTAGTAGATAGAACCGAAAATGAGGTATCTAATCCTGTTTTCAATTCTCTATTTTCCACTAAATTGGTTCTTGGTTCTTCAATTCTCGATACAGTTAAGTCTGGGTTTGGACCGATGTCATCCCTAGTTAGATTCAACGAATCGTCTTAATGACGACATATATAATTAATTGACAACTTTCTTTTATACTCAAAATTTTATTTAAATTTTAGTAAATATTATATATAAATTAAATATCTAACAACAATAGGTTAATAAACTTTCCTTTTTCTATATTTCGTTACACCATTAACGTGGATTTCAACCTATGTTTTCTAACAAATAAAGATAAAATATCAATAAGTTTGACAAAAAAAAGGAGGAGCGATGAGAATAAAAAAAAAAAATAGCGAGTATGAGAAACAATTCGTAAGAGCGGAGAGCAATCGATAGGCCATGATTATGAAACGACACACGCTGGTCTAGACGAAGAGTGCCAATGTGAGTAGTGACTCAACGGGGATATAAACTCAATGACACAATGGGACCGGAGAAGAAATGATTGTAATGGAGAAGAAAACAAATAGTTCATGATATGTTCACAATGAGGGTTTTGAGTTGAGTTTTGAAAGATTCATAACTTTTTGTTCTTTTGGATGATGGTTGAAATCTGGATAGTGATTGACTTTGTCGATATTTTAATATTTCAACATTTTTATTTTTCTTTAGTTATATATTGGTAGATATTTTAAAGATTATGAAAACGATAGACCTTTTAAACGTTATATTACTTAAGTTAATGATGTGTCTCCCTTTGAAATATTTAAATGTTTTCACCATTCCAAAATTATAAAACAATAGAATTTAGATGGGACATAATATATCTTGCGGAAAATATAGTATGTACAATAAGCATAACTTAATTTATGGTAGGATTACATTTAACTGTAACATAAAAGTGTACTCCTTAAGAAGATTCTTCTTTGGTTTTTAAAAACGAATATATCAAGATATTTTTAACTTAATTATCATCGTACAAATTTAGATGACAAACCGACAATAAACTGTACCACTAAAAACGAATATGTAAAAAATAGTAAATAAAATTTAAAAAATAATAATTATTTAAATACGTAAAAATTTTAAAACACATGCATAAAAACGAAGATATAAATCTTTGTAAAAAAGAATTTTCTAAAAAAAATACTAATTTTTAAAAACATATTAAAAAAATAAATATGTAAAAAATAATTTTTGTAGAATATAAAAAATGAATTAAAAAATAAATTTTATAAAATCAGAGAAATCTAAAAAAAAACATATATAAAACACAAATAAAAGAATATTTGTAAAAAATCAAAATTTGTAAAGTTGTAACAAATTTTTTTTTAAAAAAGCCTAAATTTTAGAAAATATATAAAAAGACAGTTGTAAAAAAAAATAAGTTTAGAACAAATTTGTAATAAAAAATAAAAAGTTGGGTCAAAGTGTAGAATAAAAAACGTAAGGACCAATAGTAAAAGATAAAAATGTGGTTTAGAAAAGTAAAAAGCAAAAATTAAGTTAAGATAAATGGAAATGATATTTTGTTAGTATGGTAATTTAGGAATGTTTTATAAAAAGAACCGTTAGAAATCTGGAAGTCGAAAGGGTTGGGTCGGTGTATTCGCGCTTAAAATAACCTTCTTCACTCGTCCCTCTCGCTTCTCTCCAAACATCGCCGGAGACATACATGTTTCCTTGAAGAAGAGGGTCTTATTTGCACGCAACATCTTCCTCCCTTTTTTCTTCTATCGACGCCACCGTTTCCTCTTTTTTTCATTCTCCGGCGTTCGAACAATCCTCTGCGTTTCCCTCTTCCTTTGTTAGGTAATGTTCTTGATTTTTTATTTTTTGTGTATTCTATTGATTTCGTTTTTGTTTTTGTTAGGTATTTAAAATTAGGCTAATCCCCTCTTCACTGGATTCATCGGGCTATTGGGTTCTACCTTTATTCTTTGTAGTTGTAGTATGACGTCTGGTTCCGATGTCAGTTTGGTTCACCGTCGTCATCGATCAAGAAAAAGAGTCCAGGTCTTTCTCCTCTGATTTCTAGGTTGTGAGTTTAATTGTGTATTTTTCACCTCTGATTTCTGGGTTTCTTTTTTCATTCTATTTGTCGTCCATTTATTTTTTGTTTTGCTGTTTTTTTGAACCAGGTCACGTAATAGAAAGCACCTATCAAGTGAATGAAGATGATTGGTCAAGCAACGGTAAAATTTAAGTAGTCTTGAAACCTAAAAAAGTATTGTTTAGTTGTAAACACTGTTAGGTGTTTGATGAAATGCCTTAATTAAGTTGAAGAGTTGTTTTGAGGGTGAAAATGTTATTAGATTAAATTATGTAGAGAGAAGCAAATAAGCACAAGCCAAATTTAAATATTAAACAACTTATTGAGCGATTAGAGATTCAATTAGGGAAAGATAATTTATTCTTTGCGTTTTTAACTCATTCAGAAATAGAAGTGTATTTTGGTTCTAACTAAAAGTTGCATATAAAATTGTGTGTTTCTATTTAATTAAGTTAGGTTTCACTTCCAATTAATATACACTAGGATGAACTTTAAAATTTTCATATTTGAAACAGATTTTGATTGTCATTGCTACAAAAATATTAGGACTCAAGTATGTAATTTTCTTACTGCAGGATTTTAGAGATTGAAGTTTGATTTTTGGGGGCATAAGGTCAAAATGCTTGAATCTTAATCAAATGAAGATACTTCCAAGAGGTGTTGTGATTTTTCTGACATTTCAGTTCCATTGAATCTCAAATAAAGGTTTTGTGTGATTTCCATCTTTTATCCACTGCTTATAAAAGAAATAAGTCTGTAACTTTGTTTGTTTATTTCCAGAAATACCCCTCTGTTCCTAAAACTTGTGCATATATATATATATATATATATATATATATATATATATATATATATATATATATATATATATATATATATATATATATATATTATTTGCAGGAAATGATGGGATTAGCATACTTCATGTTGAATCAATCAAAAAAGATGCTGAATATTGCACGGAAAACACCTTCAGCACTTATGTAGTATGTCTGGTAGTTCTTTACAACAAATATTTGTCATTTCTGTTTATGTATTTAAAAGGTGTGCTTTTATTTAGCGTATTAGGACATCAATGCCTCATGGTGTGGCCTTTGGTGGATAAAGAGGGTGTTGGTGTTTGCTTTCATTTCTCTTATGAGGTAATAGTCAATTCCCTTTTGTGAATAAAAATATTATATTTGGGATTTTCTAAAATAACTTCAGTTTTTAGCAGGAACCTCTTCATTCAGCTGTGATGCTTGTTCCAATTATGTTAAGAAAATATGGATTTCATTTCATTCTTTCTGGTGATCTGTACAATAAATGGGATCAGGTATTGCAATTTTTGTCACTGGATCCTATCTTAATACTTTAATAGAAGATAATTTTGTTTTCCAATTATCAATGAATATATGAATGATTTATCCATTTTTGTTAGAGTAATGGTGCAATGGATCCAGAGGTTCTAAAAGAATTTGTTTCAGTCCACGAAGAGGTTTTCACTCCTTAAATATCAACTTTATTGTGATTAGGTTATCGAGCAAGAGAAACACAATTGCATTTGATCATGAATCAAATCCATGGGCATTTTGCGTAAGTGTTTTATAGCATCATGTTTTCATTTTCTTTCTATTACATTATTGTACTTTCAATATTTTCTTTATCAAGACATTGTACTTTGAAAATTTTACCTAATTTACACATTTACCCTTTTGGCTAATTTTAACTAAATCTGTTATGACATGTAATTCCAGGAACTTCTGAGGGTTGGATCAAGAAAGATGTGGTACGAAAATAACCATACATTTTCATTTCAATTGATTTAAAATGTGGTTTTTTATTTAAGTAATTTATTTTTGTTTTTAAGGTAAAGACTTGACATCTCATTGCCTTTCTATGAGGGCGATGATAATCCAAATGTATGCATTGTGCATGACTTACTTGTTCTACAACTTTGATCTTGGTTATTGCAAGGTAACATGCCAATATTATTATTTATAGAGTAAATTACAATTTCTTCCTTGTGATATTTCAAAAGTAAGTTATTATCTTCATCCAGATAAAAGTATAGTAGTTTTGTTGCAAGGTTTGTCCCTGGTATTGATCGTATTGCAAAATGTTTGTGAAGTCCAAGTGCAATGACTATTTTGTCCCCCTCTTTTTCTCCTTCATCCTCTAAACCTAAAATTCCTCAAATCTTGTTCTTAAATTCTAATCAAACCAAAACCCAAAAATTAAACTAAAACTAAAAGTAAATTAAGATCCAGGGTACCAACAAACAGAAGAAAAAAAAAACAGAAAACTAAAGGTTGTTAGGTTAGAATTTTTTGTTTTTTTTTTATTATCTTGATTTTGTTTTAATTTTTGGGTGTTGATTGAATTTAGTTAGGTCTTTATGATTTAAGATGAAGGAGATTGAGAAGATGAAGATAAGGGCAAAAAAGTCATTTTACTTAAAACTAATCAGTCATATTTCTTTAAAACCTTTTTTTTAACACCATTAGTGCAAGGGACGAACATTGCAAAAAAACTAAATTTAAATTGTTAATTATTTGTGGTTTTTTTATTATACACAATATTTTGCTAAGGTTTGTAAGAAACTATTTTTTTTTTCTCACAGTGCTTGAGTGATCTCTCTCCAATATCATTATTCATCATGAAAGATGAATCACAAGCTTTCTGGTGTTTTTTTTTTCATGAATGGTTGAAGTCCTTCAATTTATAAATTTAAAGGAATTTGACAGAGTTGATTCTGTCCAAATTTTCAACCAAATGCAACATTGAATGGAATCTCGAATTCCAATTCCCTTGGAATCCACAATTCCAATTCTTGGCTGCGAAGCGATTACTAAAAATGGAATTTCAAGAAAATCCAACAGAATTGAATTATGTCCCAATTGTCTGTCAACCAAATACGTCATGAAATGGAATCTCGATTCCCGACTCTGTCGGAATCCGCTATTCCATTTCTTAGCTGTGGTTTCTAACATGTCTAATTTTGTTTTGATAGGGCAGCTTAATGCACGACTACTTCAAACAAAATGACTGCTTCTGTTTCCATTCGATTCTGATCCAATTCAAAAAGTGGCAAGTAACTTTACTCTTCTACCCTCACAAACTACACTACTAATTTGACAGTTTAGAGGGTTTTTTAGGGAAAAAACCTTTTGTTGAATCATAATGTAGTGTGTTTGGCTTTGCTGAACTTTTTGCAAATTCTGTCTTGTTATCGTAATAACAGACTTAAACATTTACCTCCAATAACATGAGTTTTTTTATTATTATGTGAGTTTTTAATCTTTTCATACCGATGTATTTGCCATATGAATTGGTGGTTTTTAGGGAAGTAACAACCAATCACCCTTCTGTTTTCATCCACCAAAACCAGATGATGTTGCTACAAGTGGACACCAAAGGTTTCTATTTCTTATTCACTAATGTTTCTTTTTTCAAGTATACCAAAGTTGAACCTTTTCTTACCCAAACTGGAAATTATTCCTTTTCCTACATTAGTGAATAAGGGGTTGTAAACCTGATTGTCAATGTTGCTAGTGGAAGTCTTGAAATTAAGTCCTATCCATCGGATTTGTAACTAAATGTCAATTGTTTCATCATTATTTTCTTTTAATAATGCCCATGCTTATTTTACTTACTTATATATATATATATATATATATATATATATATATATATATATATATATATATATATATATATTTCTTATCTTCCTTTGGCATGCATATATGAAAGGTCCAACCAGATCATATCATGGAGTAAGAAACTCAAATTTCATGATAATGATTTTTTTCCTATTTAATCACATCTTGACAACACTTCTGTTTCTTTTTTACTGAATTACTGTATTTTCATTCAGGAAGGACAACATGAAATTGTTGGAATACATGGGGGAATTGAGTTCAACCTATTATATTCTGCAGTGCTCCATGATTATATAACAGAGTATATGGTATGATGGGTATGATAAATTTATGTATTTTTCCAAGATTCCAAGAATAAAGAACACAAGGTCTTTCTTTTGATCAAATAGCGTATCCTTTTTTTTTTTTTTTTAATTATATGTGGGATGTTCTCACTGGTTCTGAATCTCGTTGTTTGTTATTTAGTTGATACGAAAAAGTTGAAGCTCTGTTTCATTTAGCTTGTAGACAAGAAACTGATTTTTAACTTCAACCCTACAGACTATAATAGAGCTTCAAATTAATTGCAAATGTTGTATGCATCAATCAGATGTTTGACAACCAAATGTTGAGGTATATAAATTTATCTGTTTACATGTTACAATGCTTTCATGTTAAGTAACTTGTTTACTAGCTAATTTACCCATGCAGTGAGTGTAAGCTGTAGGTGACAAAGGAGCAGGTTATTGCTGATGCATAGACCCATCACCTATCTGTGTAAGTTTTTCACCTAATTATACTGTCTCAAACTTACATACAGTTCTAATACTTTAAATTTTATCATTTTAAAATTAATTATTTAGCTTCTCTTTGTACCAACATGTGTGTATGTGTATCCTTTGATCATCCTGTTAGTTACATGTAAAGTTTTTAAATTACATGGATTTGATTATAATGAATGAATGTGCAGGCTTTTTGGTTGTTTCTTCAAATGACAGGGATCCTTCCTATCAACTAATATGATGGATCCAAAGATTCCAAAAAAAAAATTGTTTTTGTCCACAAAGAGCTTCTCACTCCATAAATATCAATTTTCTTATGATTTAAATGTATCAAATATATATTGTGAAGTTCATACATTTGCAGGATGATCATGAACCGAATCCTTGGGAATTTTATGTAAGTGCATTTCCTGTAAAACAATTTGTTTTTTAATCTTTTTCATAAAGTAAAACCTGAAGACTTGGATTTTTTCATAAAGTACAAAATAACAATTCTATAAAAACATGCGTAAATATAAACTCTTCAACTTCTTTTTCAGTTGCAATAGTTATGGATAGCATTGCACTTTCAACTTCTTTATGAAAATGACCATTTTGTCCCTTTCATCATCATCTCTTTCATTTCCATTTTCAAGGAGCATGATGAAATTTCAACAAAGTTCTATCTCTCCTTAAAAACAGAATTATCATATATGCTGAAGGAGCAAAAAAAAAAAAGAAAAAAAAACTAAATCCCTAAAAACAAAATCTTTTTTAAAATATGGTACTCACTTCTTGGTTTGATAATGTTGGGTCTCAACTTCAAACAGCCTATATGCTAAATTTATGAAAAGGACCATTTTGCCAACTTTAACAACACAGATGTTAAATATTTGTACATGGCCGTTTTGCCCCCGTCTTCTTCTTCTCTTTCATTTCTATGTTCAATCAAATTAAATAAACCCTAAATAAATTTAGAAGTTATTGTTGTTTATAACAACTCATTTTTTGTTTCAGAGATCATTGATTGTTGTGAATAACTTTCAGGAATTTTTCTTGGGAAAACAACTTTACAACTCTTTTGTGACAACCTTGTGCCCAAGTTTTTGATATTTTGGTAAAATCTATGTATTTAACCTTTTGGTTAATTTTAACTAAATCTGTTAATGACATGTAATTCCAGGTTTGGGCATTTTTAATGGGATCTTATTCATAAGATTCAACATACACAGAGAGGCGGTATGTTAGTAGAGTACATGACTATCAAAAACCATTGGCAGGTAAATGACCATTTTACCCTCCAACTTCCATCAACTACATATTATATTTTTATTGCAATTTCATGTTGTAGATTATAGGTTTACAAAAATTAGAGAAAGGAAGGGCTTGATCGAGAAAGATGTGGTATGCAAATGACCTTACATTTCAAATTATATAAAAAGTTAATTTTTTATTTAAGTATTTTGTTTTTGTTTTTAACGTAAGGATCTGATGGGTCATTGTTGTTGTATGAGGGTAACCATTGATTCCATAATGGAAATGGGAAGAAATAGCCATGAATTTCATAATGAAGTTGCCAAAACTTCGACCGGTTATGATACTATTTGGGTAGTGGTTGACCGTTTTACCAAGTCTGCCTATTTCCTAACCATCAAAGAAACTGACGAAATAGAGAAACTCACCGGGACCCATCTTAATGAAATAGTCAGACTACAAGGTGTGCCAATATTTATTATCTCAGACCGAGATAGCAGATTCACTTGTAAATTGTTGCAGAGGTTCCTAGGTAAAAATTCAATTGTTGTATTTCATTTGCATTTGTTTGCGATTGCCATTCTTTTTGTTGTATGATGGAAATTAATGTCAGGTATGTTGCTCTTAATAAGCTTCGATTCAGCATGTCTCCTTGTTTAACCTTTCCCAATCTCTCATAAACCCCACCCCACATAAGAACAACCATTTCAATATCTATGCATGATTCCTTCGTTTTATAGGTACGTCTTCTTCCTTACCTCAAGTATGTTTTGCGACTCATCCTACAACCCTAATTCACGATTATTGTTGACTTATTACATCCACAATCTCCACCTATTCCTTCTACAAACTCACAACTCATTGAAGAATTAATGTTCAGTAGGGGTTTTGATTGTGATTATCTTCCCATTCTTATTTGTTTATGGGTTTTTGATGCTTTACGTGAATTTTTTAGTTTGCGATTTTAATCTTTTTTGGGGAGAAAGTTTGATTTTGGTGCTTGTTCTCTCACTTGACATCACTCTACAATATTTTCCAATTTCAAGAAACTAACTTTATTTTCAAGACAAAATAGTTAGCGACCTCTAGCTATCAACGACAACTATCATATTTAGTAATTTCGTGTTGTGTCTGTGTTATGTGTAGACTACGTGGTTTGGTGCTCGATTTTGTTTCAAGTGAAAGAGGTAAAGAACTATGTTGGTGGTATGTGTTCTACTGCAGCCTCCGAGGCTTTATCCTAGCCCTAATTTATAGTTATTTCCCAATATCTTTTTAATATTTGTTTTTTATTCTAAAACGTGCAACAAAAAGGAGATCTATTTGTATTTTTTAAAATCTGTGGAGTGAATTTGATCGATTTGATGATTTTCTGAAGATTAATAGGATTATGGTGTAATTTATGATGAAGATCTTGGACAATTTAAGAAGGAGATAGAGTTGGTCCCACCAGGTTAATTGGATATTTCTTATCATTTAACTCATATATATTTTATGAGTAATTAAATGAAAATAAAGTAGGGATTAATTATCTTGGTAAAGGTATTTCAAATCTGTGTAGTAAGGGATTTATATTTACAAACTGTAATGCAAAAGAACAATTGTCAGGTCATATATACTGAGCTCATGTATCCCTTTTTTTTATTTCTCTTATGAAACAAGTCAGCTGCTATGTTCTGTTACTGGCACTTTAAGTCAAACATCTTCTTGCCATCTGATTTTGTTGTTGGATTGACTTCCTTGTAGACATAAATTTTAAGGTAAGTGCAACTTCTTATTCAAGCATTCATGTACATAATATCTTTATTCATATTCTTGCATTCTTATTATTTTGCTTCTGTGATCCAGCCTATGTATCTCATTGTTTTTTTTTTTTTTGGCAAATGGTGGGTTAAGAAGTATTATATCTATTTCCCACCATTTTCTTTCTTTTTAATCTTGAAATATTATACAAAATTTCATATTTTTTTATACCAATAGGTTGGTGTTGTTGGGTATGACAGACAAGGGGTAGTTGATCATGGCCAAAATCTGGCCACCAAAATTAAAAATAGCCTCTTACTTTTATTTCCTTATACTTTCAATCTTCTTCATATTAAGGCATCATACTTTGATGAATCTACCTAATTATAGTATTATATTTCCAGTTATTTTCTTCATATAATAGTGAAACGTGTTTTGTCTTTACATGACATTGTTATAGGAATAAATAGAAGTAAGATGCTATAATAAATAAATCAATTTTGTGTTGTGTTTTTATTTTGAGGTTCCATATTGTGTTTTTTTAGTGGTTGAATACATGATTCTGATTTTGATGCAGCTTGACAGAAGCATGTGTCCAGATCTTGAAGACTTTGGTTTGTCTAAATACAAACAAGATCTTAAGCAAGTCACACCAGAAGGAATATTTTTACAAGGGGGAGATGGAAGCCAATGCATGTTCTTTTTTCTTTTTGTTTGTTTGTTTGAAAATAACAAAATTGCAATACATAATATGAAGGTTGTCTTCAGCATCGAGTCCAAGATTGGCAGGGGAAAGGATATTCATTGTTGTTTTAATGATTTGTTGCAATTCCACTTTTAAGGGGTATTTTGGTCCATTTCTGCATTTATTAAAGAAAATCCTCATTTTTTTAAGACATGTGTATGTAATACTAAAAATCAACTTAATAAAAGACTAGTTTTATATGCCAATGTTTATGGATCTTCGGGATCCCTTGGAAGGGAGGATCCTATTATCAACTCTTGTCATCAGGGATCGGAGGTGGTTTACGCACCTTGTCTCCAGGAGAGTTCACTTCAGGATTGGATTGCTGTGGAGGTTTCGCGGGTCGTGCACGAGGAGTTACCCAACATTATTGAGCGTGTTACTGGCAGGGTAACCGCTAGGTTTCAGGATCAGACAGCGACTCTGCAGGCCGTTGGTAGGGTAGTCGGGGTAAATCGGAAGCAAGAGATTGGGTTAGATGTGCACCTTGGAAAGAGGTAGCGGGAAAATGGTTTGAGCCAACCAACCGAGCAATTGAGTTTGATTGTAGCAGGAGTCAAAAACCCAAAGGGCGAAATGGTACAAAAAGATGTTTGTAGCTGGTCTAAGTGCTGAAGGTGTGGGTGGAAAGGTCACAAGCGTCAAGAATGCACGTTGGAGGAAGAGTTGTGTCATCGTTGTCATCAGCCTGGACACATCAAAGCGAATTGCCCCCGTATAAGGGTTAAGGCAGCTCCGGTTTCATTGCAGATACTCCGACTGGGAGGGATAGTTCAAGTTCCGTCTCCCATGGTTCCGCAGGAAGTTAAGATTGAGGCGCAATAGACCGCTGGTATATATTTCATTTCAGCTTCTGCTTATGAATTTATTGTTATGATACTGCATCGAGTTAGTAAGTATATTTCAGAATAATATATTTCCTGCTTATGATAAAGTTATATACCATCTGCATACCATGGACGTTGGAGCAGTAGTTCGAAGATGTTTCCCTTTGAGCAGGTTTTCAGGACGCAGTCACTGTAGCAAGGGTGAATGGGACTTGGGAGGTATTCTGTTAGTCTTTCAGAGTGGTTCAAATTTGGTATTGGCTAGTTTTGGAGCACTAGCAATAGTAAGTATTGGGAAATCCTTTTCAAGGTGTAAGCTGTAAGGAGCTAGTGGAATCAAAGTGGGGGAGAACCACCCGAGTGGTTAGAAGCAGAAGTAAGTGCGAGAGTGGATTGGGTTCGCATCGTTGCTGAGGAGGAAAGCAGCCCAAGTGGCTGTTTAGATGGAGGAGCACGTGAGCGGGGAGTTGGGGAAAACTTCCCGAAGTTGAGTTCGTGTATGCACGATTAGCTGATGACTGGTTGGGAAACCAGGCTAGAGATTTTCTGTTAGAACAGAGATGGTCGAGTGGTCGTCTTGATTGAGGATTGGATGAGTTGGGAGTTCAGATAATGTTCCAACAATTGGTTTATGCTTTTCCTTTGCTTTGGGAAGTCGGTTCCAGGAACCAGGTGTATAGTGTATGAGATATTCATGATAGCTTTACATATTATAAACAAAATAGGAAATACTTATATTCACAAGAAAAATCGACTTTTCATACGTAAACCTGTTGATACTAAATTTTGTGAGATATATGACTTCATCGAACCTTTCAGTTCGCAGATTAAGTCCTGTTTTATAAGCCATAATCTCTTGTAGAGAGAGCGTGGTTTTTGTGTATAGATCTATATAGGATTGACAATCTCGCACCTAAACTGTTAGCTTTTGTTATATCGGCAGGTTTTGGGGTGACAAACTTCATATCATTCCAACGCCTGAAGAGCGTTGTTACAGGTAATTTGAGTCAATAGCACGGTTATAAACATGAAGTATTAATATATCTTGGTTTACGGGGCTGTTAAACGCCTTAGTGATTAGGTATGAAAAATACTTATGCATTCCGGTTTTTGGAACTTTTAAAACCACCACTTAATTATGGAAAATATTGGATTTTCTAGAAACAAACTCGAATTTCTTTATACACTATTCTTACACAAAAATGCTTATGAACTAACCAACTTAATTGTTGATACTTTTTCAAAACTATTTGTATTTCTCATAGATTCAGTAATACAGGTAAACACCAGCTTTTGGGGAAGGGACGCTAAGGCGTCAGTTTCAAATCTTTTTAAATCATCATATTGTAATTTATTTTGAAACATGTATCACATTCAACAATGTAACTTATAAATTATATTTATGATGGTTGTGTTTACTTTCTTTACAAATACTCAACTGTTATATGAAGTCATCCACCCCCGAATGTTTCCGTCATTCTGGTTTGGGGGTGTGACATCATAGCAGGTATGTGTGTGGATAATTAGGTCCTATAAAATTGAATTTAGAATTTTTAGAGCTTCATATAGTGATTTTGATAATTTTTTGGATTTTGTTTGGGTGTTTCTTTACTAAGTAGCATCTCAAGATAGGTAAGTACTCATATTCCACGGTGTTTTTGATACCATTAAATTGACAATATTAAATTTAACTCGATCTTTTTTTTTCCAGTTATGTTTATCTAACATGTGCAAGTTTCGTATGAGAAATTGAAGGGGAAAAAGAAAACCAAGAGAATTAAAAACGGGTATTATGATCATATATCATCAATCTTCAACAATGGTGTAAGTTTCTTTGGGTTCTTAATAATATATCTAAATTTCATTTCATAGGTTATCTCCCTTCCATGTGAAGGGCTTAGAAGATGCATCATCATCAGATGCGGTTGTTCCCTATCCTGAAGGAAAAGGTGAATGCTATAATATAAATGGTAATATAGTCGGATCTGAATCCCAGGAATAAATGAACCAATGAAAGTGGGTAACTTTTTCCAATGTTTTAAAACCCGGGTTGACCCGGCCGGTTGAACCGTGACCCGGGATAGAAGACGGGTTAATCGAGACCGGGTTTTTGTAAAAATACCGACCGGATCGAACCGGCCGGGTTTACCATGACCCGCGGTTGAACCGGGTATTGTGAACCGGTAAAAACCGGGTTGGACCGGTTTATTAGGGCTTGCTTAATTATTTGACTATCTTGTATCGCTCCAGCCTCCAGGCCACAAAATAGACTTCCGTTTTCGTTCTTCTCTGGGAAACAAAATAGCACGTCGCAAACAAAATAGCAAGTCGCCTCCATTCACCGGCGACGCAGCAAGTCGCCTCCATTCTCCGGCGACGCAGCAAGTCGCCTCCATTCTCCGGCGACTTCATTCTCGATCGACTTCATTCTCCGGCGACTTGCAATCTTCTCCAGCCGCCTCCAGGTGAGTTTCCGATTCCTTTCTTTTCTTTTTTCTTTTTGCTGCTAAATCGACTTCCGATTTCCTTTCTGTTCTTTTTTCTTTTTTTTTGCTGCTACATCGACTGGTGTTTCAGTCCTTCTCTAATTGATTAGCTATTGCTAATCAATTGCTAACCCAGTGCAGTGACTTTTTTTTTTTTGATTAGCTGTAGAAACTAGAAATCAATTGCTAGATTTGTTTTATTTTCTTCTCTAATTGACTTTGAAATCAGGTGAACTTACAGTTCATTTATTGTTAATTATCAATTGCAGGTGATAGATTTTGTTAGTTTATTTATTCTTAATTATCAATTACATGTGAAATCAATTACAGTTCATATATTGTTAATTATCATTGTTTCAAGATTTTGTGACAAATTTGGTTATTTACTTTTCATTTATTGTTAATTGGTCATTGTTTCAAGGTTTTGATTATGTAGATTATGAAATTAGGATCCAATTGACATATGTTTATTGATTATAAAATTACTTTTCAATGCAGTTAGATATGGAATCAAGGGAAGAACAACCATCGCAAGCACAATCTCAAGCTCAATCCCATTCTTCGGTTCAATCAAATGTACGAACAAAGACGGATATAGCATGGGAACATGTTACTCAAGTCGTTGATGAGAAGGGGAAAAAGGCATGGATATGTAACTTTTGTCAAAAAGTTATAGGTGGTGGTGGAATAAACAGGGTTAAGAAACATCTTGCTGGTATTAAAGGTGAGGTAGCAGCATGTCCAAAAGTTAGTCCAGAAGTGCGGTGTTTCAATATGATCATGCAAATATTTGTAAGAAGAATGAGGTGTTTCAAGGCGTTCTTGAAATGGTTGAGAAGACTTTTAAAGGTGATGACGTGTTAAATATTACCTTGAATTTAGGGAGGTTTCGTGATGCTGAAGGTACCTTTGGTAGATCTAGTGCCGTTGCTTCTCGTAATCTTACTCGTCCAGGTATGATTTAAACTTAATGTGTCATTATTATATATAAAATATTGTATTTTCTAATATATTTTTTTTGCTGACTATATCATTTGTAGATGAGTGGTGGAAGTTATTTGGCGGAGATATTCCGGTTTTGCAAAAGTTTGCTATTAGAATATTAAGTCAAACGGCATCTTCTTCCGGTTGCGAACGTAACTGGAGTGTATTTGAAAGGATTCACACGAAACGGATGAATAGATTGGAACATCAAAGGCTAAATGATCTTGTATTTGTTCATTACAACTTGCGTTTACAAAATAGGTATGGTAACTTGCTAAGATATACTATGCTATAAAATGACCAAGTTATATTTGAAATTTTTTTGAATGTTTTTGTAGATTGAAGGTTGATATGAGGTCTTACGATCCTGTTGACTATGAAAATATTGATAAGACGGGATTTTGGGTGGTTGAAGAAGAGCGGGAAGGAGAACTTAATTATGATGATTTGGAAAATATGCTTGATGAGCAAGAGCATGAACCGGCTTCTGAATCACAAGGTGACCATGTTGATCATGAAGTTGATAGTGAATTTCAGTTACTAAGTGACCGCGAGATCGATGCTTATAATACTCCAATTTCTCAAGATCCATGATTTGGTTTGGTCGTAACGTGTTTGGATTTGTCTAGAACTATGTTTTCTTTTGTTATTTATACTTTATGTTATTTGTTGTGTTAAGATTGATCTATAACATATTATTAATACTCTTATGTGGTTGTTTGTTGTGTTAAGATTGTTTTTTGTGTTTAGATTAAACTTTGTTGACATCAAATTATTGGTATTATATGTCTATGTAGTATGGAGGAAAGCAAAAATATATGAAAATAAAAAAAATGCCATAAACCGGGTTGACCCGGCGGTTGAACCGGTTGACCCGTGAACCGGTCTTCACACCGGGTCAACTAAAAACCCGGGTTTTAAAACATTGACTTTTTCCTTATCTAAATTTCAATACAATCATCCTTTACATCGTATTTATCCAAAGCATATCCGCACTAATAGTTGACATGAAAACTAACCATCTTCATGTTTCATCCATAAAATTTATGGTCAAACTAATACATCCCTCACAGTGTTTATAGTCAAAGGGAGTGGGGTGGGTGGATAGGGGCACATATTTTTTATCAGGTTTATCAATTCTTCCTTCCACTCCAAACTAACCCACTTTCTTCTAAAAGATCAAACTGCACGAACATAATTAGGGTCTGTAACTTCCATTAGATAACCCAATGAATGACTAAAAATGTTAACAAACAGCAAGATATTACACAAAATCTTTTATACCAACAAACCAAAACTATAGATAGGTAACAAACATGTATCTCTTTTAGCTCACCAGGTGTGTGTGACTATACAGACAAACAACAACCACTTTAGAACATTTTAATTTTTTAATTTGCTTCTACTATACATAAAAAATTAGAGTGATAAAAAAAGGAAAGATGAATAAAATAGAAATATAGTATAAAATAAAAAGAATAGGCAAGGCTTGCGTTCTTAACTCTCATTTCATCCTGTACCATAGTAT